CGGGCATCGGTGACGCTCTTCGCGCCCTCCCCCCCCCCCCCTCTGACGGTCCTGACCAGCCCAGGCCCAGCCTCTCCTCTAACTATTGCCATATATATTGATATTGATCGCCTCTCTAACTATTGGAGCAATATATTCAATATTTATCGTCGTCCTTATGACGAGATCGCGAAGGATCTCGGCGGCGCGCAATGATATGCTTGGTTTTCTTGAATGACTCTTCTCACAGGCACAGGCCTCAGGCGCGCGCGGCCGCGCGCCGCGCGCGCGTGCTAGCACTAACACACAGAGGTAGCCCTGAGAGGCAGCCGAAAGAAAGAAAGAAAGCAGGCAGGTGGGTAACGCGTAACGGGGCACAATGAGGAGGGGGAAAGGGTCCCGGAGGGAGGGCCATGAGCGAGGCTCGACTTAACGAGAATAAGAGAGAGAGGCAGCGCAACGCCCCGGCGCCCCACGCACCGCGCGACGACCCGCAGGGGCGACGTGGAGAACGGCACAGACCGCCAGTCGTCATCACTTCAGCGATCGGAGCAGGGCCTTGGAAGAAGAAGTCCAGGACGCTAGTCAAGACGGTAAATCGTTTTCGCACGCTGTCATTCAGCGCCGCGCTCCACGCGTCCAGCAATGCATAGTCAGGACAGGTTCTCAGGTTGGCTCTCCCGCACAGCCTACTTCGGCCTAACTCCCTGACGAGCTGGTGAAGAGAGGAGGCGAATCCCCTTCCTAGCCCCCGCGCATATCTAACCCCCTTCGTCGACCCCCCCGCTTGGGACGTGTCCGTCTTCCATGTCCCTCTCAGTCCCAGGTAGCCAAGTTATTGTTAAAGTGGTCCGATTCGTGCCTCCGTGCCAGGCGGGTCGATCGACGGGGCCGACCCGCCGACCGATCGCGACCAACGCGGAGCGCTCCCACGCCGACGGCCTCGCGCCTCGCCCAGGGCCGAGACTATGCGCGAGAGTTAATTCTCTTTGTTGGTATACCTGTCTTAGTGCCAGTGCGCGCCAGTGCGCAGTGCCGTGCCCAGTGTTGTGCGAGGGCCGAGGGAGGGATGGATTTGAAAATTCTTTTTGTTCCGCTGCACTACCGAACCCCTGGCGAGTAGAGGCACACACACGCTCTGTCGAGGTCTCTTGGAGCAGAGCCCCGGCGAGTCCTCGAAAGAGCTACCCAAATGGGTCCTCGCAGAGGGTACCCTGGGTGGGCGGGACTCACCCTGGCGAGGTACTTCCAGCCTGCTGTGGGAACAGCTGACGCAGTCTCGCCGAGGCCCCTCGCCCCAGCACGGGTTGACTCGGCCAGACAAAAACCCCGACAGGGGACAGGCGTCGGAGTACCCGCCAGGGCTCACTCGTGTCAGCAACCACGTCGAAGTCCAGCAAACGACGGCACCTGCGCAAACTCGGGCTGGCGGCGACGCCACCTGCGCCGCCGCCCGAGGCGTCGGTTCCTGCCACCGCGTCCGCCTCTGCCGCCGACAAGCCGAGCCGGACCATTCGCCGGCGAGCGCTCAAGCAGCGGGCCGCGCAGGCGAAGCGGGCGGCGGCGGAGAAGCCCAAGCCCAAGCCCAAGCCGAGGCGGGCCGAGTCCAGCCGGTCGGGCAGCCTCCCCGTGCTTCACGAGGACCAGCACGTCATCGCCGTCGACAAGCCCGCGGGAATGCTGAGCCACGCGTCGGAAGGCGACTCGAGCGCGAGCCTCGTCGATGCCCTCGCCGGCCGGCAGGTCGTCGCTGGCCACTCGCCTCTCTCGGAGGAGATGCTGATGCCGCGACTCGCGCCGACCGGCGAGCCCGACTCGCACATCCCGCGCTGCGTCGTCCACCGGCTTGACCGAGGCACGTCCGGCGCGCTGCTGCTCGCAAAGACGCCGCAGGCCGAGGCCGCCCTGGGCGCGGCCTTCCGCTCCCGCACCACGGCCAAGCGGTACATCGCCCTCCTCT